CCCCAAAACCCCAAAACCCCAAAACCCCAAAACCCCTTTTAAGTCTATTAGAGTTGAAATCTTTCTATCGTCTATTAATGATTCTTTATGTGAACTGTTCGTTCTTGGCCCCCAAAGTTGGCATTTCTTTTGAAAACAACTGAGGAGCGAAAGATCTAGCTGAGGTTGAACCCTGCCTGGACTTAGAGAGGCAAGAGCAGAGGGCACCTAATAGACTGGTGATAGCACACACGGCTATTAGGAAGTTGAGAATTGCCTCAATTGTTAAGAGTAGGTGGGCAAACCAGAGCCATTTTCCAGCAGCCCAGCAGGTGTTTGTGGATGCAAAGAAAAGTGTGATTATTTTGTAATATCAATCTATACAAAATTAAACCTCATCAATATCCCCCAAAACTCAAAATTCCAAACCACAGGCAATCCCAGGTGCTCAATTCCCCCAAAACCCCTTCTTGGGAGCCCTAATCACAACTAAAACCACTAAAGAACTTACTCATCAAATAGATCCAGACTAGAGACATTATTCCATTGGAGCATTGCACACTGAGTATGCTTTCTTGGGTTAATCCTGCTATAACCAGCTGCAGGATGTATCCAAGCAGTCCCTTGATCCACATCATGCTGATAATGAGTCCCTTTATGTCATCCCCTCAGTTCTCGGTCGGTGAAACAAACCTATAGGTAAAGTCTTTAGGCCACATCAGTAAAATGGGGAGTCTTAGAAGTAATAGAATAGGGTAGCAGCTGGGTCTGAGGAAATTCACCAATATTTTAAGTGAAAAATATACTGACAAAAAGTTAGAAATTATCTCTAGAAAACTACTTACCAACATATTAGGAGAATAATTAGAGTTCAAAGAGACATTTTCGCTGAATTCATTGAATTGTTGCAAAATATATCTACTTCAACTTTCTGGAAGGGGATATTGATACCAAGATCTTGTGAGCTCATCTAAATATACAATTACCTCTCCTAAACTCCATTAAACTCATTAAATCTACTCTAAACTTCCATAACCCCTTACCTTTATCAAATCTTTTATTTCAACAAAAACTCCAAAAATTGGGGTTTTGGGGTTTTGGGGTTTTGGGGTTTTGGGG